AAGGGCGGTATATAAATTGAAATGATAGATAGATAGATAGATAGATAGATAGATAGATAGATAGATAGATAGATGATGATGATGATGATGATGATGATGATGATGATGATGATGATGATGATGATGATGATGATGATGATAGATAGGTAGACAGACAGACAGACAGACAGACAGACAGAGGATAGATAGATAGATAGATAGATAGATAGATAGATAGATAGATAGATAGATAGATAGATAGATAGATAGATGACAGATGATAGATAGAGGATAGATAGAGGATGATAGATAGAAGATAGATAGAGAATAGATAGATAAAACCAAGAAAATCAGCTGTGTCTTCCCATCAACTGTGGCTCAAAACAATAATGAACTTGAGATCCCGATACGGATTTTTAAATGGAGTATCGCCCATTTGAAATATTAACCAAAGTTACTGTTACTAAGCTATTCCCTGGAATCTAATAAAAGCAGTAAGTAATAAAGAAGCTAGCAATAATACATTTTTATTCAGGTACTAATAGTAATTCCTGACGATGCTCACGCCAAAAATTAAACCTGGTATATTATGCTTTTCAGCAACACCTTAAAAACCAAGATGCTCTTGAGAATGCCATGGAAAGAGGGAGGGTCCGTCTGCCCTGCGGTCTAATGGCCTGACTAGGCAAAGAACCAGAAGGAAATAATCAGATCTTCCCAGAACTTTTAAAAAGGCAAATTGCTGCCTAAAATTGCAGGGAAGAGAGAGAGTTTAATCCTCCTACCTATGCACATAGGATGGCCAGGCATGGTGCGGCAACCATCAGGAGACTAGGAGGGTTAGGTTGCCACATCTAGGTTGGGAAATGCCTTGAGATTTTGGGGGTGGAGCCTGAGGAGGGTGGAGTTTGGGGAGGGGAGGTACTTCAATGGGGTATAATGCCATACAGCCCCTTCCAAATCAGCCATTTTCTCCATGGGAACTGATCTCTGTCACCTGGAGAGCAGTTGTAATACTAGGAGATCTCCAGCCAACACCTGGGACACATGGGGCAGTAGGGATGGTGAGATGTCACTTCTGGAGAAATCCTGGAAGTGATATCACACCTTTCTAAAATAAATCCAGGATAGTCTATGGTAAAACCATAGCATTTCCCGCAATTCCTAGAAGGGACTGATGTCACTTCCAGGTTTTCCCCAGAAGTGGCATCACACTGTCAGTCTGAAGTCTCTTTTTTTTCTCCCACCACCACTCCACGAGGTGGTAACAAATCAGCAACAGGGTTGGGGGTCTGGAGATCTCCCAGAATAACTGATCTCCACACTACAGAGCTCGGTTCCCCGGAGGAAACCTCTCATGTGGGGGGTGGACTCTATGGCATTATACCCCACTGAGATCTCTCCCCAGCCTACACCCATGGAGAAATTTCCCCACCGGGAGCTGGCAACCCTAAGTACAAGGGACTTCCTAATGGTAAGAGTGGTTTAACAATGGGATCAGCTATTAAGCATGCGGTAGGTTCTCCTTCACAGCCCTGAGGGGTGATTTTGAAGTATGGTTTTATGTTTTTACTGTATCTCATTTTAATATGGTGTTTGGTGTAGTGGCTGAGTGCGCGGACTCTAATCTGGGAGAACCTGGTTTGATTCCCCACTCCTCCACTTGCACCTGGCTGGATGACCTTAGGCAAGCCATAGCTCTGACAGGAGCTGTTCTTGAAAAAGAGCAGTTTCTGTCAGAGCTCTCTCAACCCCACCTACCTCACAGGGTGTCTGTTGTGGGGAGGGGAAAGGAAAGGAGTTTGTAAGCCGCTCTGAGACACCTTTGGGTAGTGAAGGGCGGGGTATAAATCCAATCTCTTCCTCTTCTTCTTCTTCTTCTATCTATGTTGTAAGATACCTTGAGCTCCCATAACAAAGAAAGGTGTCTAATAAATATTTAAAATAAGCAAACAAATCGGCAGGTCTTTAAGCAGAGGCTGGATAATGATCCATCAGGGATGCCGTAGTTTCAGATTCTACACTGAGCAGGGGATCGGAAGCCTAGAAAGCTCTTTTCGACTCTATGAGTATCTCCTCTGGTTACAATCTGACTTTGCCAAAAACATGAACCGGACCCGTTTTTATTTTAGTATCTTGAAACACACTGCTACTCCGCAATCCCTTTCGTATGTTAATAAGAAGGGGCCAGATGCCCTACAAAAACATGTTGCAGGGTCATTTCCAGATGTAAGGGATTAAAGCTTCTACCTGGCAGAGCATCCGAATGTTCTAAGCGAATTCTGCGCTGGCGAAATCATTGGGACGGAATGTCCGACATGCCCTATTGATGCCTAGAGTCCTAGAAGAGCGGCAAGCTCTGAGAAGATTGTATCTCCAAGTACTCCGCTCACACACAGTCAAATGTGTCTGGAACCCATTCTCTGTCTTCGTATTGATCACTTTCATCAATCGCTGCATCAATCACTCTCAGGGATTGCTGGCACCCCAGGCCTACATGCTTTGTTAGGCAATATCAAGTTACAGAAAATCTAAGGCTCCTGCTGTCGCCATGAACATTTGGCAAAGGTTTAGAGGACAGGACAACAGATAAGAACAAGGGAGGGCCAGTATTTCAGTAGGATGGTTGGAGTAGCAGGCATATTAAGTGTCAGGAGAATGGAATCCTTGGTCCCAATGGCTGCTGGGACTATTTACAGAGAGTTCTGGAGGGATGTGTTCATCAGAAGTCCAAGACTGCCAGCTGGTGGAGCTGCCATTTACAGCTCCATACCATTCTTGCATATCTAGTTTACAACTGCTCCCTGTTTGCCCTACCCCTGCCTAACTTGCTTCCCTGCCTGGTTTCCTGCCTCGAAGAACCATGGCAGCATTCAACAGAACGCTGCCTGGCATTTTGCCTTTGGCTTGGTTGCATGCAAAAAATGGTTTAGATTTGTTTATGGACCTGTCCTGAGACGCATGCATTCTTTGCCCTGTCTCTGGCTCAGAGTCGGCGCATGATTTGGAGAAAAGTGATCTACCACCATCTCCCTGATGTTCATGGTCCAAGGAAGTAAAATATTGTGGCAGCCATAAAGAACAGAACAGCCAAGGTGAACACCCCAAAGGAAGTTCAGCAACTTAACTTCCTTTTCTAAGCGACTAAGGCCCCGGTCACACGGGCTGGATATTGTGGGGGGGAGGTGTGGCTGTTTCTGTCTCTGTAGCGTGGCTAATGGTCCGTGTGACCGCAGCCTAAGAAACACAAGAAGGCAAAAAAAAAAAAATGACCGAATGATACATACCACACCCTTGCAGATTTGGGGATGTCCCTTCTGCAGTCAAAGCCTTTTGGAAACCCCTCTGCTCTTGCACCCAAGGTAAACTCCAGAAGATATTTTTAAATCAACATCTCTGAGGAAATGAATGGAAGTGTCTGCCTGGAAGCGCTTGGAGTCCAAATGGAAGACAAACCCACGATTCCTGATGAGCGATTCGAAGCGTCCCATGAGATCACCGACCATAGCTTCTTCTATAATAAAATTAAACAGAGCAGCGTGTTGAAGGATGTGGGGGAGATTAGAGTTTGATAGGCTGATTAACCAAGAGGGGGAGAAATATCGCTCAGCTTTTTTTTTTTAAGGAGCAACTTCCTACTCTATGGATTTACCATAGCAAACATCAGTCAAGCACAGTGTCTGCATCAGAGTACAAAAAGGACTACATGACTGCACCTTGTCTTTGCGGTACGTGGTGTGTGAACATTTCAATGGTTTGCTTCTTTCCCAATCGGCTCTTTCATGCTGATAAAGATCAGGAATTATTGAAATGCACATGTGCCATTTACACATGACCTGGACGGGCCTTTGGCCTGATCCAACATTGGCGTCTCTTATGTTCTTCACAGTGTCTGCATCAGAGTACAAAAAGGACTACATGACTGCACCTTGCCTTTGCGGTACATGGTGTGTGAACATTTCAATGGTTTGCTTCTTTCCCAATCGGCTCTTTCATGCTGATAAAGATCAGGAATTATTGAAATGCACATGTGCCATTTACACATGACATAGGATTTCATCCTGCACAAAACTTTGTCTTGCACTAGGGCAATTTGGAGCTGCAGTGGCTCAAGTGGTTAAGACGCTGAACTGCAGGCTGTGGAAGGTCGGCCTTTGGCCTGATCCAACATTGGCGTCTCTTATGTTCTTATGTTCTTATGCATCAGAGTACAAAAAGGACTACATGACTGCACCTTGCCTTTGCGGTACATGGTGTGTGAACATTTCAATGGTTTGCTTCTTTCCCAATCGGCTCTTTCATGCTAATAAAGATCAGGAATTATTGAAATGCACATGTGCTATTTACACATGACATAGGATTTCATCCTGCACAAAATTTTGTCTTGCACTAGGGCCATGGGCAGTTCCTGGTTTTTTTTTGGGGGGGTGGCTGGGTAGACAGTGTCCAGGGGGCAATAAACAATTAATATAGGACCAAAAATTGAATGTCCCAATCTGGAATTGAATGATACACCAAAAGATTTTTTATTTGGGGTCTTGTGTCAGAAGTAGTTGTATATACTGGAAATAATATCAGTACCAATATGTACCTTCCAGTTTAGGTTCTAAGAGTCCAAGTAAAATTGCCTTATCAGGGACAATAGGACATCAATATGTAACAGTCATACTCTTCCTCTGATGTTGCCTCCCGGCTCTGGGATTCAGAGGTTTAGTGCCTTTGAAGGTAGAGGTTCCCCTCAGTCACCGTGGCTAGTAGTCATTGATAGACTTCTCCTCCGTGAATTTGGATGCACTAAATAACGCACTTTCAATCCACTTTGCAACTGGATTTTACTGTGGGAAATGGCAAAATCCATTTGCAAACAAGTCACTGAAGTAGATTGAAACTGCATTATTTAGCATGTGTGAAAATGTCCAGTATTCCTAATCTCTTTTTAAAGCTGTTTATTCCCGTGGCCATCACTACATCCTCTGGCAGCAAATTCCGCATTTTAATCACTTGTGTAAAGTAGTATTTCCTTTTGCCCATTCTGAACCTACTGCCCATCGGTTTCATCAGATGCTTGAGTTATAAGAACACTGACTTATGCCCTCGAGTTATAAATTGTATTGCCATTTACGCAAAATCTTGTGCAACCAATTTCTGGGCCCGAGAATATATTGTGAGGGAAGCGTTAGGTGGTAAAAGGTAAAGGTAAAGGTTCCCTTGCTCGAAAGCCAGTCGAATCCGACTCTAGGGTTGCGGTGCTCATCTCCGTTACAAAGCCGAAGAGCCAGCGCTGTCCGAAGACGTTTCCGTGGTCATGTGGCCGGCATGACTAAACACCAAGGTGCACGGAACGCTGTTACCTTCCCACCGAAGTGGTCCCTATTTATCTACTTGCAATTTCTTGCTTTCGAACTGCTAGGTTGGCAGGAGCTGGAACTAGAGACAGGAGCTCACCCTGTCTTGCGGCACCCGGGTCTTGAACCACTGAACTACTGACCTTCCACAGCCTGCAGTTCAGCGTCTTAACCACTTGAGCCACCGCAGCATACAGCATATCATATCATATACCAAAGGAACTGCGCTAGGTCCATTTGTGTTTCCACATCACTGAATCCAAGCCATAATACCCATGCATTTTGCTATCCCACTGCTGTGTGCAACAGTTAATAAAAGAAGAGGCCTTCGGTTTGTAATTCTGATTTAGGAGCTCTGAGCAGAAACTTCCAATAAGAATAGGGACATGCTTGATCAGCTGTTAAACTCCACGATGAAATCATTAAAAGTAGATAGAATCTGTGACATTTTTATAACAACTGTGGGTCATTTCGTAGAAAAAGAGCTAGGGGAACTCATTAGCATAACTCATTAGCATATGCCACACCCCTGACATCAGGGGCCTGGCGGTGGACCTGCAAGGCCAGCGGGAGTGCGAGGAAGCCCCGCCAAGGCCCTCCCTGGCCCCAGGCAGGCAGGGGTGGGGAGAAGCGGGGAGGAAGCAACTTACCCTCCCTCTTCTCCTGCCTCCTCCTGGCTGAATGAGGGCTGGAAGCGGGGCGGCCGGAAGCAGGGGGCGGGGCTTCGTCATGTGCCCCGCCCCCTGCACCTCACCCGGGGGAACTGCGATCCCCCGCGTTTCCCCCCAAAATGACCTCTGACTGTGATCATAATCTATAGGTTTTATATTTATAATTAATTAGGGATGCCAGCCTCCAGGTGGGTCTCAGGGATCCTCCGTAATTAAAGTTCACCTCCAGACTACAGAGATCAGTTCCCCTGGAGGAAATGGATGCTTGGGAGGGTGGACTGTGGTGTATTCTATCTGACCAAAGTATGTATGTGAACTCTGTCATTGAAACACCATGTGAAGCTTTCATCCTGGGCTAGGATCCTAATCCCTCACTTGTAATTGGTAGCCCAGGAAGAACCGACCAATCACCAACAGCCAGTTCCAAGAGCGGGAACTATTGTGATTGGACCTTATCCCTGCAGCCTCATAGGTTGATATTGTATAATAGGGCGTGGCTACATTAGCCGGGAGAGTTTAAAAGTAGAACAGCTTCAATGTAAAAGCTGTTCTGGCTATTCATGTTGATCTGTTTGGAGTTGAGTTACGAGGTGCTGAATAAAGCTGATCTTTTGCTGAAATCACTCTCTGACTCTTTGTTAAGTAACCGACTTAACATGGCCTCTATGGCACTGTGCCCCCACGGAGGTCCCTGTCCTCTCCAGGTTCAGTTCCCAAACCTTCAGGAGTTTCCCAGCCTGGATCCGGCAACCATATGCCCCCATCCCTAGGGTTGCTAGGTCTGGGTTGAAAAATACCTGGAGACTTTGGGGGTGGAGCCAGGAGATGGCGGGGTTTGGGGAGGGGAGGGGCCTCAGCATAGTACAATGCCATACAGTTTACTTTTTCAAAGCAGCCATTTTCTCCAGAGGAGCTGATCTCAGTCAGATGGGGATCAGTTGTAAAAGCGGAAGATCCCCAGGCCCCACCGACCAGTCCCTTGCCGGTAGCCAGGAGGGACCTGGCAAACTGGGCCCAAATCGTGATCCTGACGGTCCAGAGCCTTCCAAAACAAAAATTTCAAAATGCAACCAAAACCACAAGTTATTTTCTCATCCCGTATCTCTGAGCCAGTTAATATTGCTGCTCTCCCACATAATCCAGGCCAGATGCGCCAGTGTAAACATAAACAGATTGCCGAACGGGTCGCCCCACCCTTCCACCCCATTCAAAGGCAGCTTCTAGTTTGGTGCCCCTAAGGGCTGGCGCGCTCTAGGCGAGCGCCTAGTTCGCCTAGTGAGTGAGCCGGCCCTGCTCCCACATAATCCAGGCCAGATGCGCCAGTGTAAACATAAACAGATTGCCGAAAGGGTCGCCCCACCCTTCCACCCCATTCAAAGGCAGCTTCTGGAGTCGTTTAGCTTCATTCTTCATTAGGCAGAGCAGGCGGGCAGACAAACGAAGCCTTTTGAAACTCCAAATGAGAGAAAGGAAAGCCTGTGAGATCTCTGGAAACTGAATTACGAAGTTATTGGAAGGGCCTGTAACCTAATCCAGAGATTAAACAGTAGCCATCACGCGAAAGAAGAATAAACATGGGATGCATTTTCTGCCTCCACCCTTACAGTGGGTGGGAGGTCCGTAGAAGAAACTTCTCTAGCTTGTGCAAGAGGAATGGAGATGCCATCCTCCAGCTGGGACCTGGTCAGGGGGGAAAGGGCAACCCTAGATGACAAAGGAATAAGAGTTGGGGGAAAGTGTAGAAAAGGACACATAAAAGAACACAGGTTGGGGGCACTTTCCCTAGGAGGTAATGATAAGGAGTTGGGGGCATTTTACGCTAGGTAGGGATGCCAGCTCTGGGTCAGGAGATTCCTGGAGATCTGGGGGTGGTAGGGTTGCCAACCTCCAGGTGGCGGCTGGAGATATCCTGGGATTACTACTAATCTCCAGGTAGATCAGTTCACCTGGAGAAAATGGCCATTTTGGACAAAGGTCTATGGCATTATACCCCACTGAAGTCCCTCCCCTCCCCCAAACCCTGCCCTCCTCAGGTTCCACCCCCAAAGTCTCCAGGTATTTCCCAACCCAGAGCTGACAACCCTAGGGGGTGGAGCCTGTGAACGGTGGGATTTTGGGGAGGGGAGGGACCTCAGTAGGGTATAGTGTCATAGAGTCCACCTTCCAAAGGAGCCATTTTCTCCAGGGGAACTGATCTCAGTCTTCTGGAGATCAAGTGTAATAGTGGGAGGTCTCCAGGTGCCACCTGGAAACTGGGAACCCTCGTTCCCCTGGAGGAAATGACCACTTTGGAAGGTGTACTCTATGGCGTTATACCCCACTAAAGTCCCTCCCCTCCCCATATCCCACCCTCCTCAGGCTCCACCCCCAAAATCTCCAGGTATTTCCCAGCTCGGAGCTGGCAACCCTCATGTCAAGACTAGGATCTGGGAGGCCCCAGACTTGAATCCTCCCTCTGCCATGGGGGCTTGGTGAGTACACTTTGGAAGGTGTACTCTATGGCGTTATACCCCACTAAAGTCCCTCCCCTCCCCATATCCCACCCTCCTCAGGCTCCACCCCCAAAATCTCCAGGTATTTCCCAGCTCGGAGCTGGCAACCCTCATGTCAAGACTAGGATCTGGGAGGCCCCAGACTTGAATCCTCCCTCTGCCATGGGGGCTTGGTGAGTGACCTAGGGTCAGTCACTCTACTTCATTCTAATTTACTTCACAGGCTTGTTGCTGTGAAGAGATGGAGCAGGAAAGAGGGATGTTGTAAGCAGGGCTATTTTTGGGCAGGAAAGCACCGAGGGTCAGTCACTCTTCTTCAGAGCTATTTTTTTGGAGAAAAAGCCCAGCAGGAACTCGTTAGCATAATAGACCACACCCAACAACAGAAACTCATTAGCATATCCAGCCACACCTATGATAGCACTGCTCATTAGCATATTAGGCCACACCCCCACGTTACCAGAAGTGTGGTCATCCGGCCACACTCACCTTTCCCTTCTTATTCTGTTTACCTTGTTTGTTGTCAAAACCTAGGGCTTTTTTTGTAGAAGGAGCTCCTTTGCATGTTAGGCCACACACCCCTAATGTAGCCAATCCTAATGAGTTTCTGCTGTTGGGTGTGGCCTATTATGCTAATGAGCTCCTGCTGGGCATGGTTAACCTGGGAGCCAGCCGGAACTCCGTTCCTGTGCGTTCCTGCCCAAAAATAGCCCTGCTCTTCTTCATTCTAATTTACTTCACAGGCTTCTTGCTGTGAGGAGATGGAGCAGTAAAGAGTGATGTTGTAAGTGGGGTATACAGAACTTATTTGCCATGCCAAACTTCTGCAGACTCCAGCATTTCATTTCTTTTTGAAAGGGAGAACAAAACTTTCCATGGATTTTATGTCACTCTGACTCCTCTGGCGCACAGTTCGCACGCCAGCATCTTCAAGGGATGGCAGGGAGCAAATCATTTTGGCTATGCCGGATTGGCCCAAACAAACTTCTTCTCTTACCGATGTTGTGCAAGTCAGGAAGTGAAGCTGCCGGGATATCCTCCAGCACAGCTGTCCACGTGACGTTCACTCCCAAACGGTCGGCGGACAAACACTCTACCCGAACAGCAGAATCACCACAAATGGGAACCGAAACCAGGCGCTCAAGGGTATTGGCCTTGAAGAAAGAAGCCAGGCAAGGCCGAGATTTAGCACAAAACGTGTTTACATGGCACAGTACACTTTGGCCGCATTGAACACATGAAGCTCTTTTCTCCTGAGTCAGACCCTTGGTCTCAGTATTGTCTTCTCCGACTGACAGAGAGTCTCCAAGGTCTCAGGGAAAAGTCTTTCATACCACCTACTACCAGGGCTCTAGTCGGGGGGGAGCTCTCAGGTACGGAGCTCCGGAAGAGAACCTCTAGGGGGCGGGGCGGTCACATGGTGAAGCCCCGCCCCCTTCTTTACCCCGCCCTCTGCTTCGATCCTCATTCCGTTTGGGAATGAGGATGAAGCAGGAGGGTAAGTAGCCGGGCCTTCTGACACACTTCCGGTGATGTCAGGGGGTGTGGCCTTCTGTCACTTCCGGTGATGTCAGGGGGCGTGGCATATGCAAATAAGTTATGCTAATGAGTTATGCTAATGAGCTCCGGCAGCTCTTTTTCTACAACAAGACCCCTGCCTACTACCCAATCTAAGTGGATGGGTATTGAACCTGAGACCGTCTGCCTGTAAGAAGAAGAAGAGATTGGATTTATACCCCGCCCTTCACTACCCAAAGGAGTTTCAGAGTGGCTTACAAACTCCTTTCCCTTCCCCTCCCCACAACAGACACCTTGTGAGGTACGTAGGTGGGGCTCAGAGAGCTCTGACAGAAACTGCTCTTTCTCAAGAACAGCTCTTATCAGAACTGCGGCTTGCCCAAGGTCATCCAGCCAGGTGCGAATGGAGGAGTGGGGGAATCAAACCCGGTTCTCCCAAATTAGAGGCCACACACTTAACCACTACACCAAACTGGCTCTCTGTAAAACAGAAGCTCTGCCCCTGAGCCATGTCCCCCACTCTGAATCAAGTGAATCACTGAAGTTAACCAAATAAACCAGATTTCCCCAGGTATATGTCTCGCCTTTATTATCCCCAAAAAACAGTGTGGTATAGAAGAGATAGAGAGATTGGATTTATACCCCGCCCCTCACTACCCGAAGGTGTCTCAGAGGGGCTTACAATCACCTTTCCCTTCCCCCCACAACAGATACCCTGTGAGGGAGATGGGGCTGAGAGAGCTCTTGAAAGCATTCCTCTTGAGAGAACAGCTCTGAGAGAACTTGTGACTGACCCAAGGTCATACCAGCAGCTGCAAGTGGAGGAGTGGGGAATCAAACCCGGTTCTCCCAGATTGGAGTTCACACTCTTAACCACTACACCAAACTGGCTCTCAGTGGTTAGACTGCAGGGCTGGGATTGGGGAATCCCCACTCTGCCCTGGAAGTTCGCTGGATAAACTTTGGCCACTCACACACTCTCAGCCTAACCTACCTGACAGGGTTATTGTGAGGATTAGATGGAGGAGAGAAGAACAATGTAAGTCACTTTGGGTCTCCATTGGGGGGGAGGCAGGTTGTACATGAAGTAAAATAAATCAAAACGTTTTTAAAAATCCCAAACACTGGAATAGCCAAAAGAAATAAAGAAATAATCCACAATAGTATTGATCTACTTTGCTTACAGTCTGCTTTCCCCATAAATCCCAAAATATAGAAAACAACTCAGGCAGCAGCATATTGTACCTCAGTTAACTATCTCTTAAGAAAGTGGTTCTCGACACTTTTTACATGCATTAACACACATGAAGCTGCTTTATACTGAATTGGACCATTGGTCCATCGAGGTCAGCATTGCCTGCTCAAACTGGCAGCAGAACTCCAGGATCTTAGGTGGAGGCCTTTCACATCACCTACTGCCTGGTCCTTTCAAACTGAAGATGCCGGGGATTGAAACTCATTATCTTGCATGTGCATTACAAGCATCCTGTTAACTGTATGAGTTTTAATTGATTCATCATGAATGAGTAATAAAAAATGAAAGATAATGCCGAATTTACAAAGCAGGCATTCTTCACTTCAGCTGCGCTGGAAATACTGTGACTAAAAATCATTCCCAGTATTGAAAAAGCTTGCCACCAGATTCACCGGGATCACCTTCGCAGAGGATCAGAAGGTTATCAGTCAATTACAGTGCAAATCCTAAACAATGACCGATTTCACACAAGAGCTGCGCCGTGGTCACGCCTCCCGTTGCCTCGCTTTTATTGGTCAATTTCCCACTCGAAGCTGCATGGCCGCATTTTGACCCGTGGCTTCACCCGATTTTCCCCGCGGTTTCATGATCCTAAAAAACAGGATCACAAAACCGCGGGGAAAATCAGGTGAAGCGGGTCAAAATGCGGCCGCACGGCTTTGAGTGGAAAGTTGACCAATAGAAGCAAGGCAAAGGGAGATGCAACCGCGGTGCAACTCTTGTGTGAAACCGGTCAAAGAGGACTTAGAAGGGTATCTCTCTGCCTTGGATTGCGCTGTTAATTGGTCTTAAAGATGTCACTGGACTCAAGCTTTGTTCCATGCATTAATAGTAGCTGTACCTGAACATGACAAAGTCCACGGGCCTTCATCTCATCCAGAATAAAGATCTGGAAGGCTTCAAGCAACCCAGAGTAGTCGGGACTGCAGGTCTTCTCAGGAGGCAGCAGGAGCTGAAAGTGACTTTGCGTTTGGACACTCTGGAATGGCTGGAGCTCTAAACACAGAACGGAAGAAAGAAGGGCAAAATGAAGTTCCCAGCCCCATTGCCAGAGCGTCGCCTAATGTCACTCCCTGGCGACGGCGTGGTGCGGCACGTCTGTTGTCCGCGCGGGAATGGTCCTGGGAAGACATATGTGTCCCCCGCCAAATCACGGTAAGTACTTGGTAAGCCTGAGGAGGCTCTTTTTGTAGCAGGAACTCCTTTGCATATTAGGCAACACAACCCTAATGTAGCCAATCCTCCAAGAGCTTACAGTAGCCCCTGTAAGAAGAGCTCTGTAAGCTCTTGGAGGATTGGCTACCATTAGGGGTGTGTCGCCTAATATGCAAAGGAGTCCCTGCTACAAAAAGAGCCCTGCATGGTAACTAAAAGGAACCTCCATGTTCAGACGCAGTCAACCACTGAATCCTAGTGCCGGGAGGCAACAATCAGGAGAGGGCCTTGGCCTCTGTGACCTATTGGTGGCCCTCCAGAGCAACTGTGAAGACCGGATGCTGGACTAGATGGACCACCAGTCTGATCCAGCAGGGCTCTTCCTGTGTTCTTACAATATAGCAAGGTACTTTGCCTTTTTTTAAAAAAAAATGTGGATATAGAGGTAGGCACAGTGCAGCCAAAATTAAGCTCTTTTCAATCCAATAGCTTTCAAGGGGGGGGGGGAGATTTAAGCACCTGCTCAGTTCTCCAATTGAAACCTCTAGGGCTAACAAGATTCCAAGTATGGCTGGGTTCTACCCAAATATTAGTAATTTTATTTTTAAGAAGAAGAAGAAGAGATTGGATTTATACCCTGCCCTTCACTACCCAAAGGTGTCTCAGAGCGGCTTACAAACTCCTTTCCCTTCCCCTCCCCACAACAGACACCCTGTGAGGTAGGTGGGGCTGAGAGAGCTCTTGACAGAAACTGCTCTTTTTCAAGGACAGCTGTGCCAGAGCTATGGCTTGCCCAAGGTCATCCAGCCAGGTGCAAGTGGAGGAGTGGGGAATCAAACCCGGTTCTCCCAGATTAGAGTCCGTGCACTTAACCACTACACCAAACTGGCTCTCAGTATATTTAAGAAAATATACTGGAGAAATTAGTGGGGGGAATGGGGATGAAAACAGCCTCTGATACAGAGTTGAACTGTCCGGCAGTATTCATAGTTAGGTTCACTTTCACTTCTAGTAAACTATATTGACAAGACCCTGCAAAGGCAGAGCGGGGAATGACACCAGCCGAGATCCAGAGGAGTGTTTTCCCCCACTGTTGTTGTTAAGCCTTCAAAAATGTTTTCCTTGAGAAGCCAGGAGACAGACAGAAAGCAGTAAAGATGACAATAAACTTACAGAGCTGATTCTTCCAGGGGGGAGAAATAACACAAAAGGAACTAACTTTAGTGTTTACGTGACTAAACTGTACCTTCCAAGTTGACCCATCTGGAGCTCAGCTGTTTAGCTCAAGAGTCGGTGACTCTATCAAGCCACGTGTACTTGGATGCAAATTCTACTAAGGTGCTAAATTAGGTTGCCAACTACAGCTTTGGAAATTCCTGGAGATTGGGGGGGGGGTGCCTAGGAAGCCAGCATGGTGTAAGAGCCAGTTTGGTGTAGTGGTTAAGTGCGCAGACCCTAATCTGGGAGAGCCGGGTTTGATCCCCCACTCCTCCACTTGCACCTGGCTGGATGACCTAGGGCAAGCCATAGCTCTGGCACAGATGTCCTTGAAAAAGAGCAGTTTGTGTCAGAGCTCTCTCAGCCCCACCTACCCCAACAGGGTGTCTGTTGTGGGGAGGGGAAGGGAAAGGAGTTTGTAAACCACTCTGAGACTCCTTTGGGTAGTGAAGGGCGGGGTATAAATCCCATCTCCTCCTCTACTTCTTCTTCAAGGAAGGGCAGAGTTTGGAGTGGGAAAGGAGTTTGGTGGGGATGTGATGTCACCCTCGGTCTTGTGTTTCTTCTAGAATCCGTGGTGAACCATAGAGTCTGCCTTCCAAAGCTGCCATTTCCTGCAAGGGCACTGATCTATGTAGCTTGGATGTCAGTTATAATTCCAGGAGAACTCCAGGACCCACCTGGAGCTTGGCAACCCTCAGGCACTTACTTCCAGGCAAATGTGTTTCAGAAAGAAAGGGGATGGAGAACGTAGAACTGAAGTCACAAGCAAATCTTGCTGCTACTGGTAAATAGCTATGGATCCAAATTAGCTGCTATTAAATCCTCTTTTCCAAATCTTTCACGGGTAAAATGGAAGTACTACATGCAGGGCTGAATGGTGAAAGATTTTTAATTCCACAAAACCTTTTAAACCATGGGATGCGGTCAAACGGCATGCTGAGAGCGGGTTAAACCGCTCCGGTTCTAACCGGATTATATTTGATCTGGATAATCGCAATCACACTTTCCTCCCTTATCCCGCCTCACCGCGCAGTCACATCGCTCCCCGGCGTCTACACTACCGACACGTGGGAGCGTGTGTCAGCGGATTTTTCAAATTTTTTCTCAGTTTGCGCATGCGCATAGGCGCTCGTCCGTAGAATGGGGGGGCAAAACTACCATGGTGCATGCGCAGAACCACCAGGGCGAATCGATCCAACCCCTCCAACAAAAGACGTCCCTTTAAACGTTTGACCTGAAAATGGCCTCCATGCAATCCCGAACTCATCTAAACTCTAAAACAAGTGACTGTTTAAATGCCGTTTTTCTAAACACGGTATGCACGCACTGCTGACGCTAAAAAAAAATGGTGGGCGAAAAGTGGAAGCCTCGGGCAGCTTCCAAGCGGGGAGGGGTTTTAAACCGGAAGTGGCTTGACACCGGAGGAGTGATCACACAGGGGGAAAAGGTGGCTTTAAACGGGAGAGCTGAGAAAACACCACTTTGGGACCTGATAACAAAATACTCTGGGTTAAAGTGGTTTTGAGCCAGAAACCAATGGCTGGGGACGGGAGGCAGATGTTGACTGTGTGATCCTGCATATAAAATCTGTTGCTGAACTGGCACGACACCAGATCAAATGGCATGTCTGAACGTACCCCATGTGTTCAAAGCGGGACACACAAGAGAGAGAGAAAAAAACTAGAACTACAATCATTACAGTCTACTGTAAAACAAACAAAACAGGTAGATGTAGGCGTAATGTGTATATTCTATAACACGTTTGAGTGTAAGGGTTATGTACCATGTCAAACAGTGAAGGATCATCACTGTGTGACTGAAATAAGCTGAGGCAGACATTTTGAGGCTGGCTTCGCCTCCTGCAGCAGCCATTTTGAGGCAGCCATTTTGTGGCTCCGCCCATCATACTGTGTCAGCATTCCAAAGAAGCCCACGGGCTCAAAAAGGTTGGGGACCCCAGAAACAGAACAAAACAGCCACTTCACTGACTTACTTTGACAGGTTTGCGAGTGTGGCGGATCTCCTACCCAGAGGCTGGTCTCTACATCACAGAGAAACGTCTCCCCGCTGGAAAATGCGCTGTGGAAGCCTGGATAGCAAATCACCCGGCACTGTTGAGTTATCGTAGTCGCAGAGGACGAGTTGTTGCAAAAAACCTGCCCATTGACCACATCAGGGGGGTCAAAAGGCAAGTGGCACTGAGGACCTGGGAAGACCATACAGACAAACAAAGGAAAATAAAGTTACCCAGCAGTGACTGGGAGAGAAATATGTTTTAAGTGGATGAAGGAAGATCAGAGGTCATTTCGGGGGGGGAACGCGGGGGAACCTTGTTCGTTTTAGTGAAGTTACCTCATCCCAAGAACAAAACGTCCTGTTTCCCCAGAACCATTTTGATAGGTCTCATTGCCCACACAGCAAATGTCCTCTCCATACCAAACTGATCACCAAGCTTTCATTTTGTTTTTCTCCTTTGCACTGCTGAATTTTAAATATATGACCATCTGGCTTGTATGTGTGTTTAACAAGGGGGGGGGGGAAGCAAAACCTTGTCACTCAGGGGGTTTTAATAAATCTCCGGTCTATCATTGCTGATCAGTGACGTGACATTGTCTGGGTTACAGAGACAATAGTCTTACTGCTCAAGGTGGAAAGTGATTAACTTTGGAAACGATCCCCTGATGAAGCAAACTGTAAAACGCACAGGGATCCACAAGGATTTCATTAAAAAAAAAAATTCACTTTGCACCTGTTTTTTTACAATTTTTCTGCCTGTTGGTGCAACCAGTTTGGTGTAGAGGTTAAGAGTGGCAGACTCTAACCTGGAGAACCAGGTTTCAGTCCCCACTCCTCTACATGCAGCCAACTAGGTGACCTTGGGTCACTAACAGTTCTCTCGGAGCTGTTCTACCAAGAGCAGTTCTCTCATAGCTCTCTCAGCCCCACCTACCTCACAGGGTGTCTGTTGTGGGGAGAGGGAAGAGGAAGGGAAGGAGACTGTAAGCCGCTCTCAGACTTGGGCGGGGTATAAATCCAATTCTTTTTCTTCTCATCGCTGGGTTACACAGGTCAACCTAACCATGCTGATCCATGCCATTCTAATCCCCCCTACTAGATAACTGTAACACATTCTTTGTGGGGCTCCCCTTGAAGACAACTTGGAAACTTCAATTGGTACAAAATGCAGCAGTCCCAGCTTTTTTCTGTGGTCAGCTGTTCAGAATACATAACACTGTGCTTCAACACCTGCACTGGTTACCTATTTATTCTTGGGTCCAATTCAAGCCCTTCATAGCCAAAGATTCTCACATAGTGCCAATATACGCCACCTGCACCAGTTGCATTCTTCGGAAGCCCTTGCTGTAGCCTCCCTTACCCTTTGCTATTTTACAGAGTGTTTTATTTCAGAGAACCTTTTCGTGGAACAGCGTTCCTGGTGGGATGCATCGAAGAGTTTTGCTGTGGTTTATTTAAGTAGGTGATTTTAGGACGGTGTAGTTATTGAGCTTTTGCTTTGTTTTTTATTGCCTTATTTTTATTTTATTTATTGGTGTTGCATGGGAATGCTCCCTTGAGTCTCAGGACAAAAGGGCAGTGCTATGCCAGAGGTTGTAGTGATGGCCAGAGGAATAAACAGTTTTAGAAGGAGATTAGACAGATTCATGGAGGATGAGTCTATCAATGACTACTAGCCATGGCGGCTGAGGGGAACTTCCACATTCAGAGGCACTAATCCTCTGAGTCCCAGAGCCAGGAGGCAACATCAGGGGAAGGCCTCTCTTGGTCCTGTTGTTGGCCCTCCAGAGGAACTGGCTGGCCACTGTGTGAGACAGGATGCTGGAGTAGATGGACCACTGGTCTGATCCAGCAGGGCTCTTCTGATGTTCTTATGAAGGCCTCGGCCTCTCTGCCCTGTTGTTGGCTCTGCAGAGAAACTGGTTGGCCACTGTGTGAGACAGGATGCTGGACTAGATGGACCACTGTCCTGATCCAGCAGGGTTCTTCTTAAGTTCTTAATCTTTCCAATGAAAAATAGATTCCAGATGACAGGAACTGCACTGTAATGCTCCCCCTACCAAAAAATAACCACCACCACCCTCCCCGCAAGCAGAAAACTAGCAGATATGGCTGAGCTAGAACCCCCCTGATAGGCTACCTTTCTTCTGGGAGGGAACTTTTTACATGGGGGCACTTCTTTCTTTAAAAAGAAAGGGTGTCTCCTATATGCGCTCTAAAGTGGTTTGGTCCATTCTGTTGCCTTGCCATTGGGTTTTGATCATCCCCCACGGCCTTCTTTGAAAATATTTCCGCTGTATCTGAGAAACGTGGTGCAGCACAGAGAAGAGAGGTGGGCGGTAAGGGAAAACGTGGCATTAAAATCCCTGTCATGCACGTCAAGCCAAGAAATGCTGGCCCTCACACGAGCGTGCGAGATGGAAGCTGAAAATGACCCGAGGGGGAAGCTATCCCACACGGAACCAATTAGCTTCATTGAAACCTCAAGGGACTCAACAAGCATTCCGAAGTTACTGCTGGCCTCTTTAATCTGTCTCTTGCGATAAAGGAGATGGATTTATTGTCCTTTCCCACCCCTCCTGTCTCCTCCGCTGACAAAGCCATGCTCCCATCTTCTAGCCATGCCCAGAACTGCAAAATAAATAAATACATAAATTAAAAAGCTCTTTCTTGGCTTTCCGTAAGCATCGGCTGGAAGGGGAAACTAAATCGGAGGGAAAGTCAAGGACCTTGTGTTCCTGTAAAAGAAAGGCTGCCAATGCTGGTAACGGAACAGAATTTGGAAATTCAGAATTTTCGGCTTGGGTTTCAACGGCAAAATTTAATCTTTTTTTGGAGAGGTTTCAAGCTTCAGAAAGAGGCCAGGGCTGTGAAGCGTCACTGTTGGTGGGCTTGGTTTGCAAATTTGGTATCACTTTTGTGCATTGGGTAAAGGAGACAAGTGGTGAAATGCCAGAGCAGCAGTGACGCAGCCAGGAATTCATATTCAGTGATTGGTAACTCAATGTATAGTCTGCTTTTCCATCCACTGGGGCCACGGGAGTGGGGGGAGGACACGTGCACCCAATAACAGCTTTCGGAACCACATTCGGCAGTATACTGGTTGAAGAAGAAGAAGAGATTGGATTTATACCCCGCCCTTCACTACCCAAAGGTGTCTCAGAGCGGCTTACAAAATCCTTTCCCCTCCCCACGACAGAAACCCTGTGAGGGAGGAGGGGCTGAGAGAGCTCTTTGAGAACTGCTCCTGAGAGAACAGCTATGAAAGCACTTGTGAAGAGAGAGCTCTGACAGAAACTGCTCTTTTTCACGAAGAAGAAGAAGAGATTGGATTTATACCCCGTCCTTCACTACCCAAAGGTGTCTCAGAGCGGCTTACAAATGCCTTTCCCTCCCCCTCCCCACAACAGGTAGGTGGGGCTGAGAGAGCTCTGACACAAACTGCTCTTTTTCAAGAACAGCTGTGCCAGAGCTTGTGACTGACCCAAGGTCACATCAGCAGGTGCAAGTGGAGGAGTGGGGAATCAAACCCGGTTCTCCCAGATTAGAGTCCGCGCACTTAATCACTACACCAAACTGAGAGTTTAGAACAGGAATCTAGGATAACCTGGTGTGAATCTGCACTCTGCAATAGATTCAGGTGGGTCGTCATGTTGGTCTGAAGCAACAGAAATAAGTTGGAGTCCAGGGGCACCTTTAAGACCAACAAGGGTTAATTCTGGGTATAAGCTTTCGTGTGCATGTGCACTTTGTCAGATATCTGAAGAAGTATGTGAAGAAGTGTGCCCCGCACATGAAAGCTTAGGAGGAGGGGGAGGAGATTGGATTTATACCCCGCCCTTCACTCGGAGTCTCAGAGCGGCTCACAAACCCCTTTCTCTTCCCCTCCCCACAACAGGCACCCTGTGAGGCAGGTGGGGCTGAGAGAGTTCTGTCAGAAATTGTTCTTTTTCAAGGACAGCTCTTATCAGAACTACGGCTTGCCCAAGGCCATCCAGCCAGGTGCAAGTGGAGGAGTGGGGAATCAAACCCGGTTCTCCCAGATTAGAGTCCGCACACTTAACCACTACACCAAACTGGCATGAAAGCTTATACCCGGAATTAAACGTTGTTGGTCTTAAAGGTGCCACTGGAGCTACGGATGCCAACCTCCAGGTAGGACCTGGGGATCCCCATGGAATTACAGCTCATCTCCAGACTACAGAGATCAGTTCCTCTGGAGAAAATGGATGCTTTGGAGGGTGGGCTCTAGGGCATTGTACCCCACTGAGGTCCCTGTCCTCTCCAAGCTCCACCCCCAAATCTCCAGGCACTTCCCAGCCTGAAGCTGGCAACCCAATCCCCCATCCTTTGCCGGTGGCCCGGGAGGACCTGGCAACCCTACATAACTGGACTTTGCTCTGCACTCTGCAATGGAAGCTCGTCAGGGGATCTTGGGCCAAGCACTCTATAACTTTATCCTACCTCACAGGACTGTTGTAGTGAGGATGGGAGAATGATGTTATTATAAGACTCTTTGGAACCCCCACTGGGGACAAAAGTGGAGTATAAATACTCAAGCAGAGTAAGCTGTCTCAGCTATGAGCCAGAAGCCTACGTCCTCTTTGCCACAGCTCTTCAACCTATAGGCATAACTTTATCCCACTAGTCATGCACCCTGGGATGAGTCACTATCTTACTGGCAGCTCTCCAAGCAGCCGGGCAATTATTACGTCTTAGCTTCGCAACAACCCTGCGAGGGACAAGGGATTTGCCAGGGCCACCTGGAGATTCTCAGGGGCGAATCTAAATTTGAACCCAGGTCTCTCCAGCCTATGTCCAGTACACCATCTATTACACCGCAGTAGTGCAATTAACCTCACTGTCTCAAAAGAGCACACCGAAAAATCCAGGGCTTTTTTTTCCTGGAAAAAGGTGCTGGATCTCCCAAGAGGGAAATGAAGGAGAAGCACACAGGATCCTTTGGTGGACCTCCTGATGGCACTGGTATTTCTGGCCACTGTGGGATACAGAGTGTTGGACTGGATGGGCCTTTGGCCTGATCCAACATTGGCATCTCTTATGTTCTTATGTTCTTAACAATATCATGAACTTTTAAACATTTTTTTGAGAATTTTGTTTCCACAAAGAGGTTCCAGAACTCTGTTCCTCCACATTCCCCCAGAAAAAAAAGCCCTGGAAAAATCATAT